TCTGAGACCATTTTTCATGCCTTTTTTTATGTTTAACGTGTAAGTCCAGTAAACAGTTGCTAATAAGGCCACTCCTTTTCTGTGACACTACTATGTCTGGGCACTAGTGATTGTTGTGTGTGTTTAGCAATTTTTATATTTGGACTTTCAATGGGCAACATTGAATTGTAATTAATCCTTGATTCACAATAGACTTTCATCAATTTCTATGTGTTGCCTATTTTTACTTAGTTAATTAGTTAAAATAATTGAATGCTGGGGCCGGCACAGTGGCATATCAGAATAATCCTCCACCTACGGCCCCGCATCCCCTATAAACAAAGGTTCTTGTTCCAGCTGCTCCACTTCCTAGCTCCTTGTTATTGTGCCTGGGTACAATAACATAAGTGTTATTATAACAATAACGTGAATGTTATTGGCATAAGTGTTTGTACCTCTGCATCCATCTGGGCGACCCACAAGAAGCTCCTGGCTCCTGGCTTTGGATCAGCTCAGCTCCAATCATTGTGGTATTTGGAGATTAAGCTAGCAGATGGAAGATCTCACTGTCTCTCCTTCTCTGTGACTCTAAATTTCAAATAAAAATAAATAAATCTTAAAATTTTTTTTGACTAGTGCTAGTGCCACCCTGTAGCAGTTTAATCCTTAGCCTGCAGCACTGTCATTCCGTGTGGGTGCCATTTCAAGTCCTGGCTGCTCCATTTTTATTCCAGCTCTCCACTAATACCCTGGAAAAACAGTGGAGAATGACCCAGGTGCTTGGGCCCTCCACCCACATGGGAAGATACTTCTTTCTGCCTCTCCTTCTTTTTGTACTTTGCTTTTCAAATAAATACTTATTTCGAAAATAATGTAAAGTAATTGATTTCAATTATTTATAATAACTAGGCTTTATTAGACTTACTTATTTTAAAGTCAGAATTACAGAGAGAAAGAGAGAGAGAAGGAGATAAGAGAGAGAGGTCTTCCGTTCCTGGTTCACTCCTCAAATGGTTGTTGTAGCTTGAATTGGGTCAGTCTGAAATCAGGAGCCAGGAACCAGGATCTGGGGGATTCTTCTGAGTCTCCCATGTGGGTACAGGGGCCCAACAACTTGAGCCATTCTCTGCTGCTTTCCTAGGCCATAAACAGGGAGCTGGATTTGAAGTGGAGCAGCCAGGACACAAAGCAGTGCCTGTATGGGATGGGGTGCCACAAGGCAGAGGATTAGCTTGCTATGCCTCCATGCTGGCCCCAAATAGCTAGTTATTTTAAAAACTATATATCTACAATCCCGTCATTCAAAACGAAAACCAGAATAGACAATAACCTAAAACTCAGCAATTCTACTCCTCATATGTACTTAAGAGAAAATTTGCTTATATATAATAAGAGATAGGTACAAGAATGTTCACAGCACTACTGTTTATAATACCAAAGACCCAGAATCCACTTAAATATCCATTATGGGAGACAGCAATAATATTCAGACAGAATAAACTGTTCAATTCACACAAATGATCAATATATACAGCAATCAAAAATCAATAGATAAAAGGAAGAGAATAATTATTATCAATGTAATATTAAGCAAAAAGATTATTATCCTTAAAGGACTATATTATCTCCAAAGGAATAAATCAGCTTAACATTCTTTTAATAAATTCAAAACAGAAAAAAAAAGATTTCTTAAATATTTATTTTTATTGGAATGTCAGATTTATGGAGAGAAGGAGTGATAGAAAGATCTTCCATCTGCTAGTTCACTCTCAAAATGGCTGCAATAGCTGCGGCTGAAGTGATCCAAAGCCCGGAGTCCGGAGCCTCCTGTAAGTCTCCCACATGGGTGCAGGGTCCCAAGGCCTTGGGCCATCCTCCACTGTTTTCCTAGAGCACAGTCAGGGAGCTGGCTAGGAAGCAGAGCATTCAGGACATGAACTGGCACCCATATGGTATCCCTGCACTTGGAGGTGGAGGATTAGCCAATTGTACCATTGCACCAGACCCAGAAAAAATTTTAAATGACATTTTTCTTTTAAATAATTGTGGTTGTTTTTTTTTTTAAGATTTATTTATTTATTTATTTTTACACAGAAAGAAGCAGAGACAGAATCTTCCATTCACTGGTTCATTCTCCAAATGGCCACAAAGTCTAGAGCTGGTAAGGAGCCAGGAGCTTCTTCTGTCTCTCCCACATGGCGCAAGCACCCAAGCATTTGGGTCATCTCCTGTTGCTTTCCCTGGCACATTAGCAGGTTAGTTGGATCGGAAGTGGAGTAGTGAGGACAGGAACTATCTCCCATATGGGATGCTGACGCTAGCAGACAGGATTTGCTTGTTGAACCATTGTGCCAGCCCCTAAAATAACACTTTTTAGGAATACAGACAGATGAAAAGAAATCATATAACAAGGAAAGCAGAGGAACTAAAATTCAAGATTATGGCAACATTAGATAAGGTGGGGGATGGGATGTGCAGATACGTGGCTAGCCAGGTTATTGCTCTAAAGAAAATACATGTCAATCCAAATTTGTGGGTATTTAGAAAATGTTCAGAACTTTTTCTACATTGTAAGGATTGCCTCTTTTTTTTTTAAAAAAAAGATTTATTTGTTTTTATTGCAAAGTCAGATATACAGAGAGGAGGAGAGATAGAGAGGAAGGTCTTCGTCCGATGTTTCACTCCCCAAGTGAGTGCAACGGTCAGTGCTGTGTTGATCCGAAGCCAGGATCCAGGAACTTCTTCCAGGTCTCCCACACAGGTGCAGGGTCCCAAAGCATTGGGCCGTCCTCGACTGCTTTCCCAGGCCACAAGCAGGGAGCTGGATGGGAAGTGGAGCTGCTGGGATTAGAACCGGCACCCACATGGGATCCCTGTGCTTTCAAGGCGAGGACTTTAGCCACTAGGCCATGCCACTGGGCCCAGGATTTCTCTTTATGGACTTTACTATTCATGTTATAATCCTGTCAGATTCAATTGTGATTATTGGGGTTAGCATTATGGCACAGCTGGTTAGGCTGTCATCTATGTCAGCATCCTATACAGCTGCTTGTTCTAATCCCGGGTGCTCTATTTCCAATCCAACTCCCTGCTAATGCACTTAGGAAAACATCAGCAGATGGCCTAAGTACTTGAGACTCTGCATCCATGTGGGAGTCCAGAATGGAGTTGTCGGCTTCTGGCTTTAGCCAGAACAACAGATGAGAGCTCTCTCTTTCCCTCTCTCTGCAATTCTGACTTTCAAACAAACAAACAAACAAACAAACAAAAAGCAGTAGTGGTGATGGATTAGACTGTATGCCAAAAAATGAAGTTCATACATTTATTGAAACAAAGCAGTGAAAACCCAAGAGATAGAGATCTGCTGGTTCAGGTGGCTACAATAGCTAGGACTGGGCCAGACCAAAGTCAGGAGCCAGGAGCTTCATCTGGGTCTCCTATGTGAGTGGCAGGGACCCAAGCACTTGTGTCATCTTCTACTGCTTTCCCAGGTCATTAGTTGGGAGCTGGATCTGAAGTGGAGCCACCAGGACTAGGAGCAGCGCACATGGGAGGCGAGCACGGAAGGTGAGGGTATATATGCTACCCAGCGCTGGTCCCACCCTGTATTATCCTTGTTCCCCGTGTCTCTGTCGCAGGTCAGGGCCCGATCTGGGAGCAGTGTTGCTTTTTTTTTTTTTTTTTAAGATTTATTTATTTTTATTGCAAAGTCAGATGTACAGAGAGGAGAGACAGAGAGGAAGATCTTCCATCCGATGATTCACTTTCCAAGTAACTGCAATGGCCGGTGCCGTGCTGACCCAAAGCCAGGAGCCAGGAATTTCCTCCAGGCTTTCCACACGGGTGCAGGGTCTCAAGACTTTGGGTCGTCCCCCACTGCTTTCCCAGGCCACAAACAGGGAGTTGGTATGGAAGCAGGGCTGCTGAGATTAGAAGCAGCACCCATATGGAATCCCAGGTGTGTGCAAGGCAAGGACTTTAACTACCACGCTATGGTGCTGGGTCCTGGAAGTTATATTTAAAAGTGCAGATTCTCACATTTGAAAAGTTGAAACCTTGGGCAAAAGACACTTTAAAAATATTTCTTTTTATTGGAAAGGCAGATTTACAGAGAGGAAAGACAGAGAAATATCTTCCATTTGCTGTTTCACTCCCCAAATGGCCGTGCCAACAAAGATAAGCTGATCCAAAGCCGGAGTCTCACACGCAGCTAAAGCCCTAAGGCTTTGGGCCTTTCTCTGCTACTTTCCCAGGACATAAGTAGGGAACTGGATGGGAAGTGGAACAGCTGGAATGCCCAGACTGGATTCCAGCATTTCCAAGGGAAGGGTTGAGCCACCATTCTGGCCTCAAGATGAGACATCTTGGATGAAGCAGTAGCTTTCCCTGCAGGGTGCTTGCCATTCTCTATTGCTTCTTACAGCTTCCTCACATCCCTCATGGCATCCCAAACTCCAGTACCCTTTGACTGTTCTCCCAAGCATACCTTGGACGTAGTACCTAGCTCCAGATAGTCAAAATTAACTCAAGTTTGATCCAGCCACTAATTCGCATATCTTTCACTAACACATTCCATGAAATGCTGCGTGAATTAGATAGTCCTTTAGCCATCGTGGCTTTTCTCTCTTTCCCCAACCCCATGACTTCCCAGATCCAGCAGTTCCCAAACCAGTATTCTCCTGCAAGTCAGCCAATTAGGGCAGAGTGATTTCCTCCTACTCTCCATTTCTGAGTTCGGTTGCAGGGTGAACTGGGCCAGAGGTGTGTGAGTGTCCGTACTCACACAGATCCCAGAGACTAGCGCTTGCCAGAGATTCAGGACCGGGTGCCCTGGCGGCTGAGGCAAACCTTCCTGCAAGCCGCAGCACTGGGCGAGCGCGACGTACGAGGGGCTCGGGGCGGCGCACGCCGGGAGCGGCACGGTCCTCCAAGGGCTTGCTGGGAGTTGTAGTTCTCCTGACCGGAAGTGAGGGTGGCAGGGATAGAAACCGCAGCTGAGGCAGCAGTCCCTGACGCCGCCCGCCACCGGGGTGTAGTGCATCACTCGGAGCCCACCAGCTGGGCGTGACTCCTCGGTTCCCGGAGGGTCCCTGCAGCCCTTGGCCGGGGAGGAAAAGCGGTAGGAACGCCTGTCTTCAGGCAGGAGGCGTTCTCGCAGTCCCGGATGCGGCCGGAGGGCGCGGGAATGGATCTCCGTGGCTGCGAGGATCGCCTGCCGGAGGAGAGCAGGTGGGTTTGGGGGAGTCCGCCGCCGGTAGGGTGCCGAAGCTCCAGGACGCCCTTTGGGAGGGCGTGAGGGGAATCGGCGCGGAAAGTGCCTGGCATTACAGACCTGAGGACCTGGGCTGGGGGGGCGGACTTGTTGGGGAAGAATTTCTGGAAGGAGGGACGGGCAGGGCGTGGATACGAAGAGGCTGCTGTTTGGTGAGGGTGAGGAAAGGTGAGTAGGATTTGCTGAGGACACGGCGGTGGGGTGCGGCAGAGGAGGGTGAAGCTGAGACGGTTGGAGACAGGTGGCTGTGGAGAGCCTGAGGGGCTCTCAGATTCTATAGAGAGGAGCAGGGTACAAGGTTAGTGGCACGCGAAACCGGGCCAATATGAAGAGGGTGGCAGTGTAAAAACTTCTCGGAGCAAAGGTTAGGGGGTTGTGAGTGGCTTCGGAAGAAGGGCAGGCAGGGCTGAGTGTGGGAAAGAAGACCCTGTGAAGGGAAGAGAGCGACTGTGAGGACGCGGGAGGAGGGTGGGAGCTTGCTGTTGAGGCCTGTGTAGAATCTACAAGGGGCCTTGTGCGTGAAGCGTTTGCAGACATCTGGAAGAATAAATAGCCAAGTGTTGTCAGTTCCTTCTCGTCTGCAGATCTCTCGCTTCTTCCCCCACAATGTAAGCTAAGGAAGTTCACATTTACTTAGACGACCAGAAAGTGCATCTCTCGTAGAAATTAGGGAATTACCAAAAAAAAAAAAAAATTTAACTACTTGGTTTGAATTGTCCATTGCACATTGTTATGGTGCTTTGCGTCATTGGAGTTTGCTACATAATCTCTTAAAGGGCTGGAATGGTGACAGGCCAAAGCAGGATGTGGTTTCTGGGGGTCTTGCTTGACTTTGAGAAACAGTAGTAGATGTGATGATGGACTTGGGAAGAGGTGGGCTCTAAAAGCCTGGGGTGAGAGTGTTTGCCTCAGAGAAAATAGCAGGAGGGGATTATATGCCTGTGTTAAGTTTTGGCTGTTTTTAAGGGTGACTCCACTCTTAGGTGCACAAGCGTGTGGCCTGCCATGTGCCACCTGGGCCAACAGGACCTTGTAGTCCCCGCTTGGGATTTACAAAGGATGCACACTGAGTGCAGTGGGGCGTCCTACTTCCCCTTTCAGTTTCTGCGTAGATACACACTTGGCTATTTTTTTCTTCCAGATGTTTGCAAAAATCTTGTGCACAAAAAAGGTACTTTGTAGATTCTAAACAGGTTTCAGGGTTTATTTTGATTTTCTTCTCTGCCAGTTTGTGTAGGGTAGGCTGAGTTGGAAATTCCAGTTCATGTTTCTTCCCTGTCTGCCTGGAGCTGGGTTGTTTGTGGAATGTGTTTAACATTTTACACTGCCTCACCACATGCCAGGCTCTGGTTCAGGACCTTTGTGGGGGATTTTAGTTTTGTAGTCCTTGTAGAAGATAGGGACTATTACTCTCACCATTTTACCTATGATGAAGCAGAGATGTGGACAGGATAAACAACTCACCAAGGCCAAACAGTAACCGCTGGTGGAAGTGGGTTTCAAACCTGGGCGGTCTGACTCTGGATTGTGCAGTTTGAGTACCTGCGCTGTCTTGCTCACTCTGCTGGACAGGACATTTGCTGCGCAAATGTTGCTCAGACCCGTGGGACCTCTCCTTTGAAGGTATCTTTTCCCATCAATTACCCATTTGTTTGTTTGTTGTATCTTAAAGAACTGTAGTCAAAACTTAATTTCTGCATTTGGAGTGCCCTTCCTAAAGCCACCCATATTACAGGCCTATTCTTGATTTGTGGCTGATGAATTCAGAATGCTGTTGAATGAAGCTTCGTGGATTCATTGGTTCTACATAGACCACTGGTAAATACATACCTTGTGGGGGACAATGATGTAATACCACAGGTTAAGTCTCCATCTTTCATTGTATGGGCACCACTTCTCATCTAGCTCCCTGCTAATGCACTTGGGAAAGCGATGGAATTTGAATTATGTACTTGAGCCCCTGACACGCACATGGAAAAACTGGATAGAGTTTCCAGGCTCCTGGCTTTGGACAGACCTAGCTCCAGCCACGGCAATCGTTTGGCAAATGAACCAGCAGATAGAAATTCTCTGTCTCTGTAACCCTTTCAAATCAATAGATTAAGTATATATACCTAATATATAATATGTAATTTTAAATCTTTCTCTATCTATAATATCCTTGTGCCTGATAATTAAGGCATTGTGGCTGTGTCTCTGCAAACAAAGCTTTTCCATGGATATTAAAACATTCAATGAGAAACAATCTTGGCTCGGTGGCTAAATCCTCATCTTGCATGTGCTAGGATCCCATGTAGGAGATGATTTATATTTCAGCTGCTCCACTTCCCATCCAGTTCTCTGCCTGTGGCCTAGGAAAGTAGTAGAGGATTGTCCAAAGTCTTGGGACCCTGCACAGACGTCGGAGACCTGGAAGGAGTTCCTAGTTCCTGGCTTTGGATTGGCTCAGCTCTGGCCATTGTGGGCACTTGGGGAGTGAATCAGTGGGTGGAAGACCTTTCTCTCCGTCTCTCCTTCTTTCTGTAAATCTGATTTTATTATTTTTTTTGTTGTTGTAAATCTGCCTTTTGTAGTAATAAATAAATAAATAAATTTTAAAAAAGAAACAATTTGATGAGATGTTGTCATTTATGAAGGAAAAAAGTTTTCAGTGTATTTTCTAAAAACAGTTGATAAAATGCAACATGCATTTGCTTTAAATATAGATAAGACATGCATTTGAATCTTAATGCCTCTGCTTAACTTGGTCAAGTTACTTTTCCTGTGTGAGTGGGAAGAATAGTGACTTCCTGCCTGGGAGGTTGTGATAATGTGCATCATGCTCCTCACAGAGTGTCTGGAATGTACTAAGTGCCAAAGTACCTCCGTCTGCTCCCCAGCTTTCTTGTTTTCTGATGGGTGTGTGTTCCACAAATGACTGTTGGCAATGATGCAGCTTGATCTTCCTCCCTCTGCAGACTGCCCAATGAGATTTGATCTCATTGGGTGCTGCACTGTTGGCCCAGCTTTTAACTTCACACTAGGAATATAGTTACGTCACCGGTCCCCTGTTGTTTTCCATCTGGCTAGCCATCATTCTGACAAAAATGCTTTAGTGCTTAAGGATTATATTTAACTTTCCCTAGCATCTACTAAATGTTAATTGTTTGAAATTTGTCTGAAACTACTCAACAGCTAAGGGAAAAGGCCTGGCATTGCCATGTCACCTTAACCTCCTTGGGTCAAAAAGTCTAATTTTTTTTGCCTTCCTTCATTTGTTTGTTTATTTGAAAGGCAGAGTTATTGAGAGAGAGAAAAGAAACTACAGAGGGAGGGAGATCTTCCATCCATTGGTTCACTTCCCAGGTGGCCAAAACAGTGAGGAGTAGGACAAGCCAAAGCCAGACACAGGAGCATCATCTGGGTTTCCACCTGGTGCAGAGGCCTGAGCACTTGGGACATCTCTCACTGCTTTCCCAGGCACATTAGCTGGAAGCTGGGCTGGAAGTGGAGTAGCTGGGATTTGACCTGGTGTCCATAAGTTGACACTGCAGGCTGTGAAATAACCTGCTGCAGCACAGTGCTTGTTCCCAAGAGACCAGCTTCCGAGCTTGGAACTCCTGATGCAATGATCTAGAAAGAGTCTGAATTCTAATAGTAACACATTTATAGTATCTCCAGACCACAGCACTATAAAGATTCAGTGGGTCAAAGCCTTCTCCTCTGTTCTCTCTGTTAATAAATAGCATTTTCACTCCATCAGCCAAGCCTGAAGTGAATTGGATACTTTCCTTTTCTCTGTTGTCTATATTCAACTAGTCACCAGTTTCTGTGAATTCTGTTTCTGATTTTTCTTTTGAACCCTTCTTTTTCTCCAATTCCCTAAATAATGGTTTTATCACTAAGTCAGAGGTGTAGCATAGCTGTAGTAATGACTAGATCCCAGTTGCTCGGTCGAGAATTTGCCTCCCATCTTTGAGCTACTGTGTTTCATTCTCTGGCAGGTATTTTTATAGGATAACCCTTAGCTACTCCAGACTTCGCAGTCCTAACAGCAAAAAAGATGCAGTTTTCATACTTCCAGCAAAAGCAAAACTTATGAGCCCAATTTAGAAAGTTTGTTTATTTCAAAGATAAGTGACTAAGAGAGAGGGATCTGCCACGTGCTAGTTCATTTCCCCAGATACTCACAACAGCTGTTGCTTGGCCCAGGCCAGCCAGAGCCAAGAGCCAGGAATTCTGTTTGGGTCTCCCACATGGGTGGTAAGGACCCAAGTACTGGAGCCATCATCTGTTGCCTCCCAGGGTACACCCAGCAGGAAGCTGTATTGGAAGTGGAGATTGAGTAACAGTAGCTTAGTGGCTGAAGTCCTCTCCTTGCTTCAGGATACCATATGGATGCCAATTCTAATCCCGGTGGCTCTACTTCCCATCTAGCTCTCTGCTTATGGCCTGGGAAAGCAGTTGAGGACGACCCAAGGCCTTTGGACCCCGCACCCATGTGGGAGACCTGGAAGAGGCTATGGGCTCTTGGCTTTGGATCACCTCAGCTCTGGCTATTGTGGCCATTTGGGGAATAAACCAGTGGATGGAAGATCTTCCTCTCTGTTTCTGCTCCTCTCTGTATATCTGACTTTCCAATTTAAAAAAATATGATGTACTGGAAGTGGAAGTTGCGCTTGCCCTAGGCACTATCCCATGTGTTGTAGGCATCCTAGGCAGCAGCTCAGCTTGCTGTACAACAATACCTACCCACGACTGACATGAGTTAATTCCTGCTTTTGTGATTAGATTGTGGAATATGTTGCTCAGCCAGGCCGAAGTTATGTGCCCAACCCTGGATCATAGCGTGGGGTAAGACCTTGGGACCTCACAGGCCAGAGTAAATGGTCAAGGAGTTGTTTTTCTGCAGAAAGTCATGTTTCTGTTTTTAACAACGAAAGGACAGGAATTCTAGGCAGATATAAACATATTCAGA